TAAGGGTGGAGGGTGGACAGACAGAACATTTAAACAACACATGGAAGTTTGTTTACATAGAAAGCCACACTGGCAAAAGGCGTCATTAAGTATTCCTTACAACAGGAAAACTAATACCTACACATCACTTCACTGAAAAAGCAGCAGAAAATTTTAATTTTATTTTCTAAGCTGTCTTTGAAAAGGTTCTTTGATAAATGTCAAGTCACGGGGGAGCCTTTATTGCGGTCTTTCGGTAAAGGGGGCTGATGAGAAAGACAAGGGCAATCTTTTTATCAGGGCCTGCTGCGATAGGACAAAGAGTAATGGTTTTAAACTACAAGAGGGAAGATTTAGACTAGATATAAGGAAATTTTTTTTTTAAGTGAGGGTGGTGAAACACTGGAGCAGGCTGCCCAGAGAGGCGCTAGAAGCCTCATCCCTGGAAACATTCAATTCAAGGTCAGGTTGGACGGGGCTCTGAGCAACCTGATCCAGCTAAAGATGTCCCTGCTCAGTGCAGGGGGGTTGGACTAGATGGCTTTAAAGGTCCTTTCCAACCCAAACTATTCTATGATTCTATGATTTCAGTTCAAAGTTCGGACATTTCAGGAAATTTAGACTGTGTAAGAGAAAAAAAATACAAGTCCTCAAAGCCTTACAAAATTTCAAATGCACCAAAAAACAGCAATGCAAAGGTAAGCAAACAAACAGTTGAAAAATACACAGAAAAGTAAAGAAAATAAAGAGAAGGCAGAAGTCCATACTACATACACATCTTACAGAAAGGAGATACAGAATGCATAAAGAGGAACAAGAATTAGTTCACATTTTCCTAGGCTGAAACGTATAGGAAGAATTCAGCAGTTCTCCTTATATAAGCCACAGTATCTTGGTATTGCTCTAAAGACAGAGAGGTGAAGTACCCCTTTACGCATCATGGGATTTTGTTTGGGTTTGTGACTGGAAGCCATGAGACTTGCTGAAAGATACATTGGAACAAGACTTTCTGTTGCATTTGCAACTCCAGTTTAAAACATTTCCAGAAGCATCGGTAAGGGGCACCAGCTTTTTGCAATTGTAAAACTGTCAACTGAGACAACATTCATACTGCTCAGGACATTCAGATTTATCATCTTTAATTTAATTTGTCAGTACTTATTAGGAAAACTTTACCTGGAGGGGGGAAAAAAATCTGTTATCAGTTCTGCTATAAAAATAATCCCTGATATAATATGTAAGTATTACATTTCATAAGATAAAGCAAATAAACCCAGTCAAAGAAGTGTATTTGGACTCAAAATTGAACATACATTCTAGTGGAAAACAGTCCTTTTAGGTACTAAAATATCTGCACCAAATATAATCTCTACTTGAGGAGGAGTGGAAAATCTTTGAAAATTTTAATAGAAGCAATAAATTGTCAATTCTGTTCTCTTACTAAATGAATACTTGACATTGCTTATGACAGAACCACTCGACTGAGAAACAGCTTCATAGAATAGAAAGCAGCTGTCTTCTTACAAACAAGAATGCCTACATTTGCTGAATAACATATGCCACGTTTGTCCATTTTTTCCTTTTTACATCCCTTTTTTAGATAAAGTTCTTTTGTGCTGAAAAATACAGCCATTTTCCCCTCCCCACTACTCCTTCATTCACTATTTTTATCAGTTCCTCTTCAAACTGCCTGGGTAGCACCTTGAGTTTCTTCTCACTCTTTAAGGACTAAGGAATAACTTGCTGAAAAATACTCAGCTAGCAGTCTGGAAAAACAATCCTAATAAGCTGTATGTTTATGACTGCTGCTCAGTCTCTCTTTTTTGCTTTAATCACAAGTCCCTCAATGCTGCTCTGCATTAACTACCAATTAGTTATGCTAGTTCTAATCAGTACCAAGACAGGTCTACATAAACCTTCCTCACATGATACACTCAGGAGCCAGCTCCGGCTGGCTGTTTAACCGCATTGGCAGCAGTTCCTTGCTTCCTACCACGAGGGCTGAGCACTCTTAAGGAGAGATGGTGCTGAGCTCCTTTCTCACATAAAATGCAATTTCCCTCTCCTTGGAGAACAACTACATTCATGCATGACAAAAACAGAGGGTAATTAGGAAAAAAAACCCCGAAGTTAAAAATATGGTGCATGCTTCAAGGTATCAGTAAGTATTGCTGGTCTCTTTTTAATGAGTTAAATAATGGCATTTGTCTTCTCACTGGTATGGGCACATACTGTTTGTTAGCATTAACAGGAGCCAAGGAACTGTACAGATACCGTATTTTTATCTCCCTTTATTACCCTAAACCAGAGATTTCTGACTGGTTACAGGGAAATTTGTGTACTCACTACTTTGTGCCATGACGCTTTGAAGGAGGAGGAAAAAGCCTGATGAAGCAGCAGCCAAACTGTAATTCTATTAAATAACTTGAAGCAGAATGTCATACTCAATTATGTATTTAAAGACTGAAAGCAGGCTCACATTTGTAAACAAATCATTAATTCAGGCTTTGTTTCAAAGACTGCTCCAGGCTTTCTGTTTTTCCGAGACAAATGACAAAGTGATGAGTTCTGCATCACAACATGTTGTAATACTCAAAAGCAGAACTCCAGTGAGAAAAACCTAAGATATCTACAACTCAATGCATCACTGCAGCATGGGTTTCTTGGTGTTTTTATTTCCCTGCCAGCTTTTCTCATGGGAGGACTGAAGTTCCTCCAATGTACCATAAATACATAAATAAAACTTCAGCTGGATATATTATTTAGTGCCATGAAGAAGGAAGGACCTCCCTACACTGATGCAGAAGGCAGAAGTCGGTAGAAATCTGCAAGTGCCCAGCATAATTTGAGGAAATTTGTTTAATACTGAGCATGCTTAGCAGCTTTCTTAAATCCTAAAACAAAGCTGCTAGCTATGGCATGGAAACGGATCCTTGTGAATCGTACATACTGAGATTGTGACATGAACCACTACTTGGTTGGGAGAAATAATTGCCACCGAGCCCTAGCTGAAGAGAATACACCCAGACCAGCAAGGATGTTAGTTGGTCAGCACCCGTGGCAGATCGCTTGGCTACAGCACAAGGTCTTTTGCTTTGTCACAAGACAGGGAGGGTGCCACACATCTATGAATGCTGGTTCAAGGTCTGCTGTGTTAGACAAGGTCTCCTGTGGTACTGGTGAACTGAAAGTACGAAAACCTGGACTGCAGACACTACAGTTCCAATCAGATTTTGTAAGATAAGGATGTGCAGGGTAATCGGATAACTGACAACATGTACTACATTTTAAGTTATTTCATTGACTGATTCACCACTGGACAGTAAACAAGTCTAAACATACAATCAAAGTGTAGATCTGCTAAAAATCTTATTTATTTTAGAATTATTTTGTAATATCTTTACAGGAAAATATCATGGACTTACTCTACAATTAATTTATGGAGAGTAAAGAGTATTTGAAATGTTTTATTTGCAGTAAATCTGAACTCTTTATCCAGACAACTCCACAGTTCTCCTTTGCTGACTGATACTAATACAAGTTCTGTAGTTTTATTTGATGCTTCAAGCAAACAGAAAACCCTAGTACTCGATAACCTTATTTCTAGTAAAGCTTAAATTTGGTAAAAGATGGTGGAATATTGAAATCTTACAGCTAACTTTGTCACAAACTGCACAAGACTGACAGGAGTTGAACTGAAGGACATCTATTTCCACTAATGTGTATTCATTAGTATTTTTATTTCCTGAAGCTTGCGTAGATGCATTTTGGGACAACTTGTGATGGTTCTGTAATTAAAACTTCATCTTTGTTACACCACAAACCATACCTCATTCCAAATTTTTATAGCAAAACTCAGAGTTATGGAAAATTCCAAATCGGTGGAATTTATTTGCACTTAATGAAAATGGAAGCTGCAAATATCACTTTGATCAATTAACTCTGTAAGTTATTTTACTTCTTATGAAAATGCAGTTGGTCAGAGTTTAGCAGGAGACAAAATTTTACTGCCTCCAGATTGCTTTTAAAATAACTTGATTTGTTGGACGACATGCAGTTTAAGGTAAAGAACTACATCTCGGCACATGAGTAAATTTATCAAATTTATACAGACAGTATGTAGTCCAGAATTCCAAATTATTCCAAACAAAATTCAAGATACTTCAGTTCACAGTGGTTACCCTTCTTGACAAAAACAGGTGAAGAAATGGCTGTTCTGCAGTGCAACACACAGTAAAGAGATCTGCAAGCAGGCAAGACAACACCACACAGCACACTTCAGGTGTACAATGTAACGTACGTGCACACACAGGGAGATGATTTCCCAGCAAGACTGGCATAAACATTGTATTGGACAGTCATGGCCAAAGGATATTCAAGCACAACTCAAATCACATTCTAGCTAGCTCATAAGCATCTGCACAACTTTTTTTGAGACTTTCCTATTTTTATCCTTCCTGGGTTAAAATTAGACAGGTTCTAATCCCACCCATGGGTGAAGTTTCATAGAAACTCACTTCAGAAAATGGTAATTTCAAAAGAATGTAAAGCAGACCATTCAGCACTGTACACTGAGAATAAAGATCAGCTTGAAAGTACGTCCATTTTCCTAGCACATAACAGTTTTCTGCAGCTGTTTTAGGCTACAGCCAAGCTACAACAAGTATTTCCTATCCTGACCTTAATGTAGTTTGGTTTATGGCACAGACTAAGGCGTAAGCAGGTTTTCAATGCCCAGTTTAGTTTTGGAACATGACAAAAAATTCAACGTATACTATAACATTTCTGCTGCGTTTATGCTTTCTATTTTGTGACCCCAAACACAATACATATAATAACAAACATATACATAAATCCTATGGGTTTATGGCACCCCTGCTTCACTGGAGAGGTTCAAGACTGAGCTACAGAGGCCCTTGCCCCCTTCTGCTTTTTCTTCCGCAGAGCCCCCTTCCATTGCACAAATTGTCAGACTTTTAGTAAAAGAATGCAGAATCCTCTACCACATATACAGCCTTTACCTGCTAGAATACAGTGTAGGTTGATCATGTTGATAATGCTCATCTACGTTCAAGGAAGAAGAAGAAATTGTGGTCGCCAAGGAAGCCGCTTCAAACAGAGATGGAGTGCTTGGCACTAGATCCGGCCGGTGGCGTGAACTGAGTACTGCATACAGAAAAATAAAAACAACATTAACAAATTTCATTTCAAATCAAATCCAAGAATCCTTATGCAAATGTATGGAGTCACAGAGTGCTCTCAACAGCTTCTTGAAGCTTCTTAATATGTTTGAGTTGATGAGATTGTAATATTCATGTGCCCATAGCCACACTCTTTTGCATTACAGGGTCAATTTCAGCTGCTAGTCAGTACATTCAGCAGAATACAGAGCAACCTCAAGGTCAAATATTAAACAGTGGTATGAACATCTGATTAATTCTTCTAAGTTCTGGGACTGGTCTCACAGTACCAGGGCCCAGTTGTCAGATGGGGTTAGGTGGCTGGTTCTCCTTTGAGCCTGGCTGCAATGAGCCCTGAAAGGAGCAAAGTCTGTATCTCCTTAAAAAAACACTGGAAACAATGAATGGAGCTTCAGAACACTTCATGTGACATGTTTGTTCACTGGCAGTAGCCTTAATCTGCTGCCTGGTCTGGATAAATTTTTTTAGGATGCCCTGAAATCAAGATCGTACTATAACCTTGATTCTGACTTCCTCTTGCTCCTGAAGGTCCATTCTGCCAAATATGACTAACAACTCTCCATAAGACTAAACTGACTGAAGTTTTGAAAGATCATCTAGATTGGAAACTTTCTAGTTATAGAGCTTCTAGAGCTTATACTAAATTCCTTTAAAAACATTGTTTAGGCTGTTGATTTGAAAGACATTACCTTCTTCATCAAGGCTGGCGTAGCTTTGTCCTTCAGCAAGAATGCCATGTTTTTCATCCTTCCACTCCTGGCTAACACCACACACTACTTCTTGTGATGTCGCTTTTAGGGCTGTGATGGAATTGCACCGTTTCTTTGAAGGTGAAGACTTTAAAGCTGCATTACCAAATGAACTTAGGTGTTGAATGATGCCATCTTATCTCCCTGCACATCTTTAACAGCATATAGAAAAGCAAGCCATCTATAAAGCTAGAGTTTCTGAATACAAAGAACATATCCAGACACAAACCCACTTACGAAATACTACATTAAAACTAGAGTTACAGGCGTTGTTATTTCATTTATAACTCAAGTACTTCTGTCTTTTTCTGGAGTTTCTTACTGCTCATAAGACCAAAAAAAAAATCAAATTAGTTAACCAACTCTAACATCACTAAGGTACAAATCTCCTATGGAGTATCAACCCATGTAATCAGAAACAGAATGACACAGAAAAAAACAGAAGACAGGAAAACTGGAAAGACATTTGGAGTATTTTGAGAGGTTATGAGCTCATTTCCTTGAGCTGTGAACTACGGCTATATGACTTATGTGATACTGCAGAATTTCCACTTCAGTGACATGTGTCAAACATAATCTTTGGCTAAAATAAACACTTCCGAAATGCTAATGGCTTGCATACTCAGGTATGAGCATTCCCTTTATAATTCTTAGCAGGGCCTGCCTACTTACAATGGCATTTGGGGTGAAACTCTAGGATCTGCCCATTGCCACTATTACTTAGCCACACCCCTATTTGTAGTTCTTCTCCAGAAGGATGCCAGATAGTTCATTTAGTGTTTTTCAGTTGCCAGCTGCCGACCTCTGTGCATTGGCTGCAAGGTTACTTCAGATGCACTGCAATAGTTCATACTGTGCTCTATTACAAAATTCAAATTAAAAGCATCAAAGCCACTTGGCTAAAGACTGAAGAAGAGAATCAGATGCATAGCTCCAGGATATTGTTAAAAAATAATATGGTAGATAGCTGCTGAGCTAGCCTCTGCCCAAGGCTGAACCTGCTTATTATGTTTTTATTGTTCTTTATGGAGGTTTATTCTGTGCCCAAGGAGGAAAAGCACACATTCATAACAGGGCTTAAGAGTTTAAACTGAAATCTCTAACTCAGAGTTTAGAAACAATGTTCCTGAAGGCAGGAACACTCCCAATTTGTTAGTTTAGAAAGAATGACAATGCATTTGAACCATTAATCTGTGTAAAAGTAGATTACTAGCCTTGTATGCAGAGCAGATCAGAAAGACGAGGATATTAGGACAGGTTAATAGCTTGGAAAAATGAGACAGAAAAATTAAGATTAGAGAGAAAATTAGGCATGATGTCCTTAGTTGTACATTGTAGCTTTCAAATACTGAAAGGTGGGTGTCTTGTGCTGACATAAATCCATCAGTCAGAATTAGAAAGAACTGAAAAAAGAATCAAATGTTCAGGAAACATTTATGGCTGCATGAGACATTTATTTTGTCCAACAGAGAGAGGTATCAAGTTGCCTACTCCTTACTCTCTATCAGTGTAGGGGAGTTCCTTTGAGTATTGTCTCAGACAAGAGAGCTCCCACCAGTTCCCTGGCAAAATTATTCTACGGTTTAAGAGATCTGAGTCTCAGGAGGTTCCTTCATCCTTTCAGCTGAATATTGCTTCATATTTTGTCATATTACATCTATTACTTTATTTTGATATTAATAATTCTTTTCTGAAATTACTGTTAACATTTAACACATAAAGTTGTTACTTTGTGCTAGTATTTGTAGTCATTCTTGTTTCACTAAAATCTCATTTAGTTCTATACTTCTTTTTATATTTTGTTTTACCTCTATCCACATAGACTTGTTTCTCACTCCAGATAACTAATGACAATGTTAAGAGACCAGCATAACACTGATCAAAAAGGTATGTACAAAACACCTTCTATCAGTTTGATACAATGCCATATGCTCAATATTCCTTCTCTAGTATTTGAGCCAAGTGTCCATTCCACATTTTGACGTTCAACTCCAAACCAAATACAATTCCCTGAGTAGGATTATCAAACTGCTAATTAGGATCTATTTTAGAGTATAAGTCCCTCTATCAGCTACATAGTTCTAGCCAGTCAATTTATATTGATTTGTCAAGAACTCTGCTTTACAAAAAGTCTTGAAACACAGAAAACACTGTTTCCCAGAGGCTAAGCAGAAACATCCCATCTCTTACTGAGGAAAAAAAAAAAAAAGTGCAATTTCAGCAGCTCCACAGATTTAAAAAATAATTTGGCAGTAAAGCAGTAAATTAATATCGATGCATACTATTTAACCCAGCCAATATATGTCTTATTATAAGGTTTTCTACCACTTGCTGTAACTGTTGAAAAACCCCCTCATTGCTCAGATAACCACAACAGCTTTTCCCCAAAGAGCAGCCTAGGCACACATCTTTGCCTTGCTGGTATATTTGTCAGGTCTTCCCTACAGCCTTCCTCACTGCACAGACACTGAATGCATCTCAGTGGTCATCACCATCCTTGTCTGCACTTGCAATGCTTCAGACTGAATTTTCTTTCAGTAGCATGATGAACTCATTGAGGAGTTACCCATCAATTCATTAATGTTTATAAGACTCTCCAAAAGTCTTATTTTCCTGAATACCTGTCACAACATGTCATACATTCTCCTTTCATCAGTCTATCCTATTGTTTTTCTTCTTATTCAGTAATTTCACAAAGTACTTATCACCTACACTTCTGATTTCTTGTCACTTCTAGTTACGAGTTTTCTCTCTTCTTTCTTGCTCTTTTAGACCTAATCACCTATGTTCTAATCTGCATGTCTCTAACATTGGTTTTCATGGACAGGGTCAGAGTTTCACCAGCTCACTCCAAATAATTTGATTCTTTCCAAAAACAGTGGGATACTGGTCTTCAGAAAAGTGATACTATCTTTAGACAAAATGCAAAGACCAGTACAGTCTGAAAAATACTGATTTCCAGTGGCAGAAATTTTAGTGAAAATAAAACCTGATCTGAAATTTTGATGGAAGAAGCATGTAAGAAGATGAGTCTCTAAACTTTGATTGTGCATGAATATACTTATCACACCCGGGGGAACTATAAATCAAGCTAGATACAAACACATGAACTTACGTTCAAGATGTGTATTCTCGAATGATAGCTCATTTTCCCGTGTTAATTTTCAAAGTCAGGCTAAAGGCAGCAAGTCTCAAAATAAATCTGTTCCTTAATGCTTGCAGTGCCTACTGTTGTTCTGCTTCACAGCTGTACCCAGATTAGAACAAAATATCTATACTGCTCACTCCATGGTACTAAGGCAACATGAATTTGTTCTTTTCAGTTTGGAATCAAGAAACAAAATATGATAGCTATTTCTCCAATATTTTTGATGAAATGTAACTTCATATGCCCACATGGTAGTTACTGCAGTTTGGACTCTCTGGACGGTATAGTGTACTGGTTTTGGCTGGGACAGAGTTAATTTCCTTTGTAGTATCTCTATGGTGCTACGTCTTAGATTTGTGAAGAAAACAGTGTTGATGGCACACCAAGGTTTTAGTTATTGCTGAGCAGTGCTTATACAGCATCAAGGCCTTCTCACACTGCCCTACCAGTGAGGATGCTGGGGGTGCACTAGAAGTTGTCAGGGGACATGGCCTGGAGAGCTGACCCCAACTGAGTGGCAGTGAAGTTGAGCCTGGGAAGAAGGAAGTGATGGGGGGTAGGTATTTTAAGATTTGGGTTTATGTTTCGTTACCCTATTCTGATTTGATTGGTAATAAATTAAATTAATTTCCCTGAATTGAGTCTGTTTTGCCTGTGGTTGGTAATTGGTGAGTGATCTCCCTGTCCTTATCTCAACCCATGAGCCATTTGTTTTAATTTTTTTCCCTGTCCAGTTGAGAAGGGGAGTGATAGAGTGACTTTGGTGGGCACTGGCATTCAGCCAGGGTCAACCCATCGCAGTCTGTAAGTAGCTAATAGTAATATATATCTTACCCTTGAGAATTAATTAAAAGATTAATGAGGGAGAAATGGAGGAGAAAACTAGAAACAGATGATAATGGCAAAGACAAAAGACTTTATTAATATCCAACTTCTGATTTTTTTCCTTGATAAAGCACAGAAGAAATCCATATCAAAGGGAAGAATGCCTATCTTTTCAAACATGCTGGGGGTGGTATGTAAGCAATCTTTACTTTTACAAATTAAATACATTATAAACAATGGGGGTATTCCTATGAATAACAGATGCAGGTCTGGACACATCACTAGATCACAAAATCTATCTTTGTGTCAATGCTAATATAAGGGAACCTGTTTTACCTTCAGATGCCTCTGATATGACAAAAATACAAGGCAAATAATTCTCTGTAATTTTACTATTAGAGTACAATCACCTTAGCTTCAGTGTAGAAACTCAACTTCTGGCAATGTAAGTGCTACATGAGGTTGAAGAAAGGATTTTTTTATTGCCAAGACAGAAGCATGATTATTAAACAACAAAAAAAAAGAGTAGTAGTCATAACTTTCTCACCTTGAACTTTCTTGAAAACTCTTGTACTCATAAACTTTAAAAATCTGTCTGCATAAAAACTTGGTCGGTGAACTGAAACAGTGTCCTACAAGATTGAAAAAGGTCTGAGTCATGTTTTCCATAAGTAAATCACAAGTAAATCGTCAAAAAAGAAGCTGGACACCTCAGGTAAACTATATCATACATTTCAGGCATGCTCAAAATAAATTAATCATAACAAGGTTTTCCTTTTTAAAGGTTAATTCTTCAAGGACTTTTCATTAGGTGTTTCATTTATGAAATGATGAGTTATGAATTATACAGCCATATTGTCCAAAATCTTCCTAGCATTTGAAATTTCTTTTTTCACATCATGTACACTTTTCCATTACAGATTCATCAATGTCCTACTAAGTGGACATTGTCTTGTGTGAGTTACAAGGACAAGATGATCGTTTTAGTTGCTTTCTGAAAGATCAACAAATAAAATCTGAGCATGTATGGGGAAATGGGCCTAGAAGGTTTCAGCAACAGCCTAAACCACGTAGACTACAAATATATTAGAGCTAGGTCCTTCTCGGTCAACATAAGTCAAAGTTCCATTAGGTAAAATATCAGCAGTTAAAAAAAATAATAAAAATCTACTTACCCCATCATAAACAAGAGCTTTCCAAGAATGTTCCAGCTTCTTCATTAACCTAAGCATATAAAAACAAAATCAGAAGTGCTTTATAGAATTTCCGCTTTGTAAGTAATTTCAGAATAATTTATTCAATAAAAACTTGAAATTCAGCTTACCTATAAGACTGGAGAATATCAATAATACCCATGAATAGAAGCAGCTTTTCTCCTTTATGGCTTTTAGCTGGAATACCTCCCATTCTGAGAGAAACAACAAAAACATAGTTAGATTATCTTTTAAGACGTCTCTGTCCATCGGTTAGTAGGTGAACTGTTCCCACTTGCAAATCCAAAGAAATAGGCACAGCATTAAACCTAGATGCCACAGTGCAAAGTCAGTCAAATGTGGGTCACTTAGTATACAACTGATTTTAAATAGCAAGCCTAAAGTATCTGGGATCCAGTGGTAAAGCATATTTTAGGATAACTTTTATATAGAATTGGAAATATTTAGATGATCTGAAAATCGGAAAAAAGTATACATCAGTTTATTACTAAGGAAAATAAATAATTTTGCCTAGCTAAAGGAGAATTTTGCCACTTTATTGATCATATGTAACAAAACTGTAGAAAGCCTGCACCTTACTCCATGTTTGAAAAGGTTGTTTTGTGTATTTTTCACTAAAAATTGTGTACGTGCTTTTCCAAAATTTCTTTACAGATGGATTAGTGGCAGAAAAAGTAAGAGTATCAAGCTGAGAAGCCTGAGTGCCTGGATCTCCACTTGGTGCAGAGTATTTACTCAGCCATGACCTTAAAAAACAAGTTCCTCCTCTTAAGACCCTCTTTTCCTACACCATCACCTAGAAAAAAGGGTCCATTGTTTTTAGAACCAGAAACTGAAATCCAATTTTCAGTTTGTCAGCTTCTGTTGATATTGATGGACCCACTACAAAACATCAAGAAAGAGAGATTAAAGATGCAACACATGCAATACCTCAAAATCTTTTTAAACAGGTTGAGAAACAAATCATACACACTTGAAACAGCTATCAAAGATAGTTGAGAGTATATTCCCCATTCTGCCACTAAAGCACAGTAGTCTCCCTGATGAAACAGGGCTACCATCTACTCAACCTTTTTTGCTTTTATTTTTTTGGGTGAATATTTTTTAATTATTCTAGGCACAAAGGAAACCATGTAAGAATAAGTACAGTTTAAATTACTGTAAAACCCCGCTACCATAAACTCCAGCTCAATTAACTGGTCAGACATTCAGAAGTGCTAAGTGGTTTACAAAACTATATTCTGCCAGCTTTTCCTGGATGCTACGACTATAAATTCAGTCCAGTACAAGCAGTAGTTACTGCTGCTGGGTGTCCACTCTTATCCTCATGCTTGTATGGCCTTACAATGAACCACAGCAGAAGACTGACCTAAGGGTCTTTTTTGTAATATCTAGGCTTATTTTCATCTACCTCAGCAAGGTTTGGCACACTACCAGTTATGTCAATATGGGAGAGGAGGTAGTGTAAGGGGCCAAGAAAGGGCTCAATTGCTGCAGTAGGCTTTCAGCAGCTGTACTACACTGCTCAAGATCTGGGCAGTACTACATTAGCTCAAGTGATGTGGGGTGAGTTTCCATACATCATAACCAGAGAGAATTTCTTGGATGACCTATAGAATCAGCTTTTGGCTTTCAGTTAAAAAATAAAATCAGAACAAAACCAAAAGCCAGCATGCCAGTGCAACACCTCTGCCACCGTACAAGAGCATTCACCATCTTCTGTGTGAACATGAGTAATGCTATAAAAACAGTGAAATTCAGCTCTGTCTAATTTATATTCCAGAGTTCTGAACATCTAGAAACTCTCTATAAATGCTTAAATATCATAACGCTCCTATTTGTTTGCTGTGGGTTTAAGCATCTGTTTCTATGTCATTAGCTGTATTTACCTAGACAGCTCCCTTGAAAACCAGGAGAAGAGTAAATCCTTAATTTGAAATTAAACCCTCATTATAATGAAGGGCTGATTATACAGAATGTGAATGGCAAACATAATGCTCTCACTAACACTGAATGTATTTCAAAGGAAATAATAGAATAACTATCATCTATATCCTTAAATTTCAATTGCAGTTTTTGCTAGATGGAAAAGGAGGAGGAAAGCAGAGTTCTTAACGTCAGGAAATATTGTATGTGAATATGACTGCACTTCAGTTGTTGATGATACAATTCTAGGTATTGAGTATACTACTTTGAGATGAAAATAACCACTGTAGGAACATCTGTTTCAATGTTAATGAATAGTTTTTGCTTATGGCTCATCAGGCTGCTTCCATTTAAAATTAGATTATACCTGGGACTTTTGTAATAGCTGTCTCATAACATCTCTTTTCTAAATGAATGCTCTTGTGCATACGTCTGTCACTCTGAAATAACCAAATTTGCTATCATGTATTTAAAGATGGTAAATCTACTAATCAACATTTTAATTTCCTGCTCTGCTTTTGAAAAAAAAAAAGGCTTAATCTTTCAATTCCTGAAATGCAGTGTACTCTTGAATGTTTTGCCTCTTAATACCAAGTGGCACAGACTAAAGAAATAGAATGTGCAATTTTAATAGTAACCTTAAGAGCAGGTTATGGTACTTACGTGTTTGTTGTCTCTGTGGCAACAGAGTCCCCCGACTTCCTGAGGCCCTGTATAGACTCCATGGCTGTAGAATAGAGAACTTTCTGCCCTCCAGGACGTTTTGTGTCTGATGTGCTCTGGGAACTCTCTCCTTCTTTTTCCTTCATATTACTGTTCAGAATATGGATTCCCAGCAGCAGACTGTAATCCATGATCTTGAAACTTTCTAGAACCTATCAACAAAGAAGAAATGGCTGTACTGAAATAAAAAAAAAAAAAAAAAAGACTACATACAATATGAATTTCATAGCAGCATTTTGAAAATATAAGTAAAAATAGGCCTTCAAAGCACAAATTACTCTTACTAGGAAAATGTGAGAAATTTTTACTACTCCACATAAGTCAAAGGCCTAGTTGTCTAATTAATTCAATGCTTTTGTTACAAGTGGGAGAGAAAGATGCATAGCTGAAATGTAACCTGATGTTATCTTGCAGTCAATGAAGATATGCCCAGTCAACAACTTTTTTATTTATAATAATAATTAATTAATAGTTCCATACTACACTTATGAACTATAGGCATTTTTGAAGACATTTCTAATGCATGTTCCAGACTTTACTGAGCATTTTTGCCTAGACTACTCTCCACCTGTCCTCCACCTCCTGTTCATAACTGAGAAAGTATTCTCAGTGAACATTCAAATGTCAAAAAAAAGCATTTGTTACTACCCTCTTATTAACAGTTGATGGGATTTGGGCACAAAAATCACTCATCCCTCTTTATTAGGCTAAATAGGGCCTATTTAAACTTTTTTTAAAAAGGCAGTTTTATTTCTGAAGCACGACTTAACCAACCAGCCTTCTCTTCTAGCTCTATCCACCTTTGTTGCCTCTGTCAGTAGATAGGTTTCCTTTCTTCTTTCATGCACATGTACTCTCTTAAGTTTCTAGCCAGTTACATCATTATAAAGTCTGGCATACTGCCATCAAAAGAAAATACAGTTCAAGTCAATATGCAAACTTGAACTAAAAGAAGCTGTGATCACATCTAGTAATATAACCTGTCTGCAGACAGCAACTGTGTTACATATCTTATACAACAGCAGTGCTAAGCGGAGAGAGAAAAACCGTTAGCAAACAGGAAGGATATGCTGTGCCACTCACCTCTCCTTTACCTCATGCAGCTCAGCAATGATTCATGACATGTTTTGGCACACAATACCCCAAGATAACGGTGTGATTTTTGGCACAGAATCAAGAGGCAATAGCACAGCTTTTTACATGAACAAGGACAAAATGTGATTTTGTAGAAATGACAAAGAGTATGTCATTTTGATGAAGACTATCAAAGTACATATTTTTACACAACACACTGAGATGGCTTGTGAACTCTAAGACACATTTTGCAAATCCAAACTGAGGTTTGTTGGCAATCACTAGGAAAGGTTTAGTGGTCTGTGAAATTGTATGAGAAGGAAAAGGAAGTCTACTACTTAACACAGAGATAATTTTAACTCCAATGTCCAAGTACATAGGCAAAAAGGTAGGAAAGCTCTGTTCCACTCCATCTGAACTTCTTATCATAGAATAGTATCATAGAATGGTTTGGGTTGGAAGGCACCTTAAAGATCATCTAGTTCCAGCCCCCCTGCCATGGATAGGGACACCTTCCCCTAGACCAGGTTGCTCCAAGCCCCATCCAACCTGGCCTTGAACACTGCCAGGGAGGAGGCAGCCACAGCTTCTCTGGGCAACCTGCTCCAGGATCTCACCACCCTCACAGGAAAGAGCTTCCTTAAATCTAATCTGAATCTACCCTCTTTCAGTCTGAAACCATTACCAACTCTAAGGTGTCCCCAGAGCCTTCTCTTCAGCTCTCCCAGCCTGTCCTCATAGGGCAGGTTATAACAGTGCCAGAAGGTGTCCCTGCCCATGGCAGGGGGTTGGAACTAGGTGATCTTTAAGGTCCCTTCCAACCCAAACCATTCTATGATCCTATGATTTAAAGTAAAGAAATAAAGCATAACACACTGTAATCTAAATGTAGAAAGGCATAGTCTCATTCTGATTTCCAGACACAAAGGAGGAGTTTAGAAGACATGCTAGATTTGATCTTGCTCAGAGTAATTCTGCACAGAGGTGTGTTAGTTCAAATGGAACATGAAAAAAGACTGCTAACACATGGCCCTCAGTACTCCACAGCATCCTCTGATGACAGAACTCACCAAGGGTTTCAGGACACAACAAAAAAGCATATTCTAAATTACCATACACAAGATAATGAAATTCACTTGTGCATTGTGTGGGAATGTTGGAGACTAATAACTTCCCGGTTTACAGTCATGAATTGCAAAAATAGTGCAGCTAACAGGTACAAAGGCAGAGACACTTGGTGCCAAATAGGTTCTAGAATTTTCTTTACTGCTTGCTTATTGCTACCCTTTACTCAGTCTTTTTAAGAAAAAACCCTATATAATGTATTCATTAAATATATGTAATCAGTGCATGTTTGCTCCAAATACTGAAAGGTAGGGTAAGCTGAAAAAAAAGTACAATACAGTTCATCCTCTATAAAAATACTTACCTTAGCAGTACAGTCAGCAACAGTGTTTATGCAAAGCCAGATTACAGCAGCTAATCAGGCTTGGAAAACACATTGCCACTTTTATTTTACAGTTATAAACATAGCTGCTGACAGCTCTGCCTTCAACCTATTCTTTACTGCCTTTTGAATTAGATTACCTTAGACACATTATGATTTAACTGCACTTAATTACATAACCTATGTCTAGGATTGGATGTAGCCTCATGGAAGGCAGTGTTACAATGTGCCTCTTCTTCCACAGGGACCTCTTATGTGATAAAATCAATGTTTCTGACTGCATCAATTCACCACTATCACTTACACCCATACTACTTGTACTATACAACAGACTAAAAATCTCTTTGACTATTTATGACTTTGTCTATGACTACTGAAAAACATCATAAAAAACAAGTAGCTATTTTGTTATTACAGTTCATTAAGAAATTGAAACACCTGCACATCCAGTGGATTAACTGCAGTACATATTCTTACAAACAGCACATAGCATATGAACTCTAGCCCTTGTCTCCCGGACACCCTATTCACGGTCTTACTCAGAGGCAGGAATGTCCAGTCTACAAAGTGTCTGCAGGATATCATAATATGATCTGCCCCTCTGTCTGCCTACTGGTTTGATAGACAGTTCTGATTACCTCCGCTTAGAAATTTGATTACCAAACCAGCCACTCCTTATGTAAATACACATCTTTTGACTTGATCTAAGCATGTTTTACTCCCCTGTTTATTTCTAAGGAAAATTCTGGTAAGAAATAATTAACCAGAATAACAAGGAAGAATCTCAGACAACAGCATTCAACAAAAACTTACTTCGTGTCAAACATTTCAGTCTGTATTAACATAAAATTTTATTTCAGTCACTGAGATTTCCATCTGAATATATCTGAGGGTTCTCACATATGTATCATCAGTAATATTTAAAATATCAAATCATGATTACTTTTAAATGTGTAAGTAATATTTTGCACACACAGTTGTACAAATTAATCTGGTTTGCCACAGAAAAGTCACAGAATGCAGCGCATCAACCTATTTCTCAATGTGCAGTATGCTATGAGAACACAAAAAGGCGTAAGTCTTTTCCTGGGTCGAGTGTTGCTTGCAAGCAGCTTTGATGATTTTAGATGGAACTGCTTTTGAGAAGCAGCAGCAAGTTTTTGGCACCAAAAATGTCACTGACATTTCAAATGCCAAAGGCACCAAAATGAGATCCTAGTCTAATGAAAAACACTCAACTGAATCACAGTATTAAAGGGCTATATTCATAGCAAAATGAGAAAGCCCTGTAAAACACCTGATGTCATCCTTGTAAGATCACTAGAAATTGACATTAACTCCCAGAAATACGCTCCTTGTGCAGTTAAAGTGAGAGAAATCCAATCTGTACTCATGTAACCACTCTGAAATGCAGCAAAATGGCACTGTGAGATTTCAGCAAGAATATTCCTATTTGTTAATACACAGCATGATTAAGTGTTGTATTTGATAATGACAAGTAAATGTTCAGTTCATTAACTTGACATTAAATTGTTAATCTCGTTTGTATTTATATATGTGTTATTTCACTAGCTACACAGATTCTATCAACGCGATCTTGTCACTTGGTCACCAAGTTTGCAAGGCTGGCTTTAGCTGCCCTGACAACTTCCACATGGCAAGCGTCACTCATCCCTTTCTACCCTTAAGCACTATTTTGCTTTCATACCTCATAAAAACCCCCAGTGAAATGGCATGACAAACTACGTTGTTTTGGAAAAATGGAAAAATAACTCCCTGAATCATATTTTCTTTTCTCTGAGTTAATCAGATGTTATAGCATTCTGTGAATCATCTTAGACATGATTACACTCAACAATCTCAGCCAGTGACTAATGGAGCAAAGCAAGTATTTCTGCCATGGAATTTCATTTTCATTTTAGATGCAGCCAGCCCAAGCTGTGTACTATCTGACAGAGATCTGCACTCATGTTGCTAACCATGCAAAATAACTCAAGTCAGCAGGTTATTTTCATAAAAGAATCAAGGAAAACACTACTCAAAAAAAATTTCACAAGATTGTGAAATGCAAAACCTAAAAGGATAACCATGCGAGCAAGCGTTTCCTCTCCTACAAGCACTTTGAAAAAGGAACATACAAACTAACATAACGGAAAGAGGACTGATTTTATACAGAATCAATAATTACTCTTCAACATAAGGAGATATATATATAAAAATACCACAAAACAAAGGACTATCTCACAAAATAAACATTTCTTAGAAACAAGTGTGCAAATGTCAAATACCTAGAGATGGGTCTGGTTTAGAAACATTCTAGCCAAGAAAAAAAATCACCAGCCCTCCCCAAGTGTATGTGGAGTCACTTTCCATGTCAACAGAATTCTTGAAACATGTTGTTAACTAACAATTTCTGATTCTCAAAGTACAAGTAAACAGAAATTTCAAATTTCAATTGATACTACAGAAGTTGTAATATATAAAGATAAGAGAGATCTGCAGTATCATTCAATGTCCATTTTCCTCAAACACCATTTCTGACAAAGAGGTCCTTTATCTAAGCTTAGTACGTTCTCCACCTCCATGCCATGCCATGTCATCTATTATTTCTGCCCTATGCTGCAGTTCAAT